TGTTGGTTCTGGTTTAGTATTTAAACTCTGATTTGTTAACCATTGTGATTTGCCTAACATAGCACAACATATGAAGTCAAAGTCTATGGATACAATGCTGTAATCCTAACATAGGACTCTGTCCTACTATATGTATGTTTGCAGTTCAGTTATATTAGTCTGTCTCTTCTGGAAACACTAATAGCTCAGACCAGCTAAGAAAAAATTCAATTCACAAACTAAAGCTATCAAAGTAATGTGTGCTATTCATTCCCTCCATAAAAATGCAAATGATAGCATTGGATCTGAAACATGTTTTTCCAATGCAGCTTTCTTCAGATGTTTGGAGAATTCCCATAAACTTGAAAAAACAAAGCCAATTGTCAAGAATGCTGAGAAATGTAGTTCAAAATATTTCAAAGCTACAATGTTGAGGGTGATTGTTTAAATATCCCCAAATTAAACACTTGGCCCTTATAAGTGATTAAAGAAAATAAATTCCATATTATTATACTACTTTCTCAGTTTGACAAGCTGATTATTTTTGACATCAAAAATAATGAAACATTTAGGTTGTTCTCTTCAGAAAATAAATAGCAACAGTAATTGAAGATTATAGAAATGGTCAGCATTGCTCTTTGCATATTTGATTCAAATCCTTCTGCCAACTCTAGATGCATTGTCAAATGCATCCAATACATCATTGCAGGAATTTATCTCAAAACACATGGAATGTATAATCAAGATGATGTTTTGAAAGATATTTACCAATTTTTTTAAAAAAACAGATTATTCTATCTTCATAGTTAATAAACTTTTGAATCTCATTTTAATTTTTAAAAATGATTCTACTTCCTATAGTTGTACACTAGTTGGGGTGTTATGCTAAGGAAGCGTATTACTTCTATAAAAACTACAAAGAGAACTATGTGGGCTTGGTACAGGAGGAACAAAAACAGATTTATCAAATTCTATTGTATATCACAACTTGTTTGATTTTCTCCAAGGGCATCTGAAAATCAGGAGACTGGGTAATTAGATGAAAAGATTATTTTATCTGATAAGATGTTACTTACCTAAAATTTGAAGGGTTACCTAACACTTATCAATGCTCATTCACAATACATACTTTAATTAAAAAATATTGTAATTCTCTTTCCGTCAGCAAAGTCTTCTACAATTAATGAATCACTGGTGGTATTCAGCCGGTTTGGGAAAACTGGTAGTGGTGACATGCTGTCCTATTTAGCTATATTCTCTAAGATGCGCGCGGAAGCAAAGCACATGCGTGGAAGGCCATGTGCATGTGCGGAAGGCGCATGCACAAGCAAAGCAAGTCTGTTCACATTTTCGATGCACGGCGAACAGATGGTAAAATTATGTGAAACCCACCTCTGTAATGAATATTTGGAAAGGCATTTGAACAAGTCATTATTAGAATATTTAACTAGGTAATTAGTTATACTTAAACACTGTTCAGTGGTTGTGCTGAACTGCCATCAAGGAGAAAATCAATTATAGCATTTACTGGCTGATTTGATACCAGTCACTGTCCATCCACCCTTCACAAGATTATTGTGCGGGACTTCTGGTTGGCTCCGCGAGCCTCGAAGACGCTCTTTTACGAGCGCCCAATCCCCGGTTCCGTAAAAGCCCCAGAACAGCCGAAAAACAGCTGTCTGGAGGCTTGGAACCCTGTCCCCAGGCAAAGGGGAGAGAGAAGAGCCGACAGGTGGAGGTAGAGCCCAAGTGCGCTAGGAGAAATCCTGGGGACGAAGGGTGTGGGCTCCCTTTTGAAGCCTGTCAAGCTCCTCCGGACCAGGGACGACTCCGCTGAAGCGGAGCTAGAAGCCGCGACCAAAATCTGCTGAAAATAAATGAGGGAACTTTTTAACATCTTTACCTTGATTGCAGACAGAGCAAATCAGGAGAAAAAAGGGAAAAAAATTGCAAGTAACACTTTAACTTCAAGGTTTTGGTTACTATCTTTAGAGCGCTCCATGGCTCAGGACCAGGGTACTTACGAGACCGCCTCCTGCCACCAATAGCCTCTCACCGACCAGTTCGCTCCCATAGAGAGAGACTCCTCAGGGTGCCATCGGCCAAACAATGTCGACTGACGGCCCCCAGGGGGAGAGCCTTTTCTGTGGGGGCACTAACGGGCTTCCCCCGGAGTTACGAAACATCCAAGACTTACGCATATTCCGCCGTGCCCTGAAAACATTTCTATTCCAACAAGCTGGTCTGGCCTAACTCTCCCTTTTTAATTGGCTTTTAAACTGGGTTTTAAATTGGGTTTTAAACCTCTTTAGATAAATTTGGATGTTTTTAATCTTTGAGCCTAAATTACTTAATCTGTTTCTTAATAGTTTTTAACTTCTATATGTATTTGTATTTATTATGGCTGTTCAACGCCCTGAGTCCTTCGGGAGTAGGGCGGTATACAAATATGAAAAATAAATAAATAAAATAAATAAACTCCGTTTTAAAATGCAGAAAATGGCGCCTGAGGGCGGGAGGAGGAAGCTACTAGGGAAAGTGCTTGTTAACGCTTGTTAACGTTTGCAACATTGATACAGCTACTGGATTACACCTTAAGAGAAAGTTTTAAAGTGGAAGCGGCTAGGAAAAGAATTTGGTATTGACTTTAACTAAAATTTTGCTTTTATACTGTGTGGAAAACAGTTGGAATTGTCGTCCTGATAGCTGGATAAATACAAAGTGGCTGAAATATGGCTGACATCAGGGCTGGTGAATCAGCAAACTCTCAAGCTGTGACTGTTAAAGCTTTTCAAAACTTCTAGACTCTTTCAATTCTGCTCTTTTGGATACAATTGAAAGAGCTTTTTCAAAAAACAGCTTGGAAAATCGTAAGGAGTTGTTGGATGGGCAGCAGGAAATTTTTCAGAGGAGTTTGCCTTTGGAAGATCAAGAGGCTGTTAGGACTGAAAGGCAGGCTGGCACAGTTGAAACTAAGGTCTGAGCAGACGCTTCCATTCAATTGATAGAAAAGCAACAAATAGACTCTTTATCGCAAGCTGACACTTTATGGCAACGAATTTTGGCTATATGGACAAAGGAATGGACTGAAGGATTATACAAGCAAGAAGAGTCGAAATGGGGATTTCAAATTAGAAAAAGTGTCTTCAAGAAGAGAGCGAGTTTTTCAGAAACATCAACCTCAAATCAACATTTTAAAATTTTCAAAAATAAAATTGGGGGGAATGTTGAAAGAATTAATTTAAAAAAAGGATTGGAAAAAATATAGAAAGAAGAGAAGAACAGAAGATTAAGTATTTGCTTTTTTTCTTTTTGGGGAAGGAAGACTAGTAATAAATTGAAAAGTTTAATTACATTGGTATTGCTAAAGGCTACTTTAAGACAAAATGATATAATATAATTAGTTTTGGATAGTAAAAGGGCTGCTTTCTAAAAAAAGTTAGAGGTATTAAAATGGCTAATTGAAAATTTGAAAGATATCTTCCTGTAGATTCTGAAATTTATAGTTGGTAAATATGTGTTTTAATGGTATTAAGGGATTTTAAAATGTTTAACATAAGATTGTTATTTTAAGAGATATATGAGATAAAATGTTTAAGACTGTAAGATGCCCAATTTTTTGAAGGAAAGAGGATTAATGTTAAATTTAGAACTTTATTAGGGAGTAATGCTTAAAAAGAATGTTCGGGGGTGTGGAGATGAAATTTATCCATGATTTTCACTGTTTGTAACACAAAGTATTGGATTATACATTAAGAAAAAGTTTTTTATAACTAGGAAGAATGAATTTAACTTAATTGGTCTTGAGAATTTATAAAAGGGAGATTGATGAATTGGAGTAAGGGGAGTTAAAGAACGCGTGGGAGTTTTGAATTTTATATAGTTTATTTTAGCATGTTTGTTAAGAGGCTATACCCTGTTTTTGCTCTGGGAAGTCGGGGGGGTGGGGTGGGGAGGGTGGGATAAGGGTTGGGGTGGGATAAAAGTGTTGAATAGAGAAATGTTTTAACAGAAAAGTAAATGTGGGGGAAATGTATAAATAATGAAATGACAATATTAAGAATGACAGTTATTGGAGGAGTAAGATGTAGAAAGAAAGATGTATTCAGATGATATATTAACTGATTGATTTTATATTGTATGTTTGTTTGAATGTTTATAAAATAAAAACTTTTCTTATAAAAAAAAGAAAGATTATTGTGCGGTAAAATAGATACTAGTTATTTAATTCAATATTGGTTCCAGTTGTTTGATAAATCTATTTATGATAAACCCTAACAGCAAGTTAGGTTAAACAGCAAGTTAAACATGAGCCGAGGTGGCGCAGTGGTTAGGGTGCAATACTGCAGCTACTTCAGCTGACTGCTAGTTCAGCAGATCAGCGGATCAAATCTCACCGGCTCAAGGTTGACTCAGCCTTCCATCCTTCCGAGGTGGGTAAAATGAGGACCCAGATTGTTGGGGGCAATATGCTATTTAGTATACTGTCTTTGGTGTAAGCCGCCCAGAGTCCTCGGAGAGTGGGCGGCATAGAAATATGAATAATAAAATAAATAATAAATAAGTAAATATAATGATTTCCAAGATCCCCCCACCCTTACCTAGTCATAATTATTTAACTGGACAATTGCCTTTTAGAAGTGATTGTTTTTCTAGTTATCAGTACAGCATTATAAATGCTTTTAACTTTATACACCACTCACCTTAAACATATACCTGAAAAACCAGGCACCATTATTGATACTCAGGCTTTCAATCACCTACAATATTTTCTCTTCCTGATTTCTTTTGACAGGTTTTTTTTTGTACACCAATGTCTCTTTCATGTCTGATTAATTGTAAATTATTCTGACTTTGTAAATACCATTATTAGCACAATACAAAAAGAAAAATGTTTTGCAGTTTAACTGTAAAGTTTAGAAGCAGTACTACCAAAAATGAATGGAAAAGGATCATATTTTAAGATCTCATATCTTTGCTCTTGCCAATTGTTTAATATTCAGGAAAAATCATCTCGTAGATTATTTAAATCTTCATTTATTGGATGAGAATACAAAAAATCACTTTGATTTTTGACTCTGTGCTTGTGCCTTCAGTACTTTAACAACAATCTTCTGCTCCTCAATAAGGAATGCTCTCTTGATTCTAAAAAATAAAAATAAAAATAACAAAGCATTGTTATAATTCAGCAACAAGCCATACCACAATTATAACAAGCATCACTTGAAAATGTAGTATTTGTTAGTAGATCCAATCTACATGTCATGTTAAAATAAAGCCTTTATGAAGAAGTAGGAAGAAACAGTAGTTCTTTTTCCAATTCTAATTTTGTTAAATTTACAAAGGACATATTTTATAAAACAGACTCTTTAGCATCAAGTTGCCTCCATGGGTTACAAATATATGCATTTTCCCCCTTTCCAATTGATCAGTAAGCTTACAATTGCAAGATATTCCAACTGTTAATGGAAAGGTAAAATAAAACAAGGTAGATGGATATAGCTCTCTAGGTTACTTTCAACATTTCAATTAACTTTACATCAACATGCCTTAAAACTATTCTAAAGTAGGTGACTAAACTATGTTCTCATCCATAGTTTTGTGGATAACTGACAGAGAACAAACTATATTATATATGTAATTGGGGTACATTCAAATGAACCTATGAATTTCAGCAAAATTGTACTAAAATATCATTTACCTGTCACGAACACATTTAGCACACATAGAACCTCCGTAGGCTCTACTAACGTGTTTCTTTGTTTTGGAAAGTCTCATAAGAACTTTTGGACGAACAGCGCGGACCTGTAGAAAATAAAATAACATATTCTTGTAACTCACCCCTGAAATTTATCGGATTAAAAAGAGCCCTTATAATTTTTGTGCTTATATAAATCACCCATTCATAATGATATGACAAAAGATTTCTGAATAAGTATTATAAATGAATAAACTTGTTTTAATTTCAAAGACTATATAGTTTTATACCAAAAAGAAAAATATTCAGAATAGATTCACTGAAATGGAGATTTCAGATAGGCATGATGTATTTTTCTATGTATTTCATTAAAATACTATTAAGTTTGTCAAAATTTGGACTTGGCTGTTAACAATATTCTTGCAACAGATAAACCCACACTTCCTGAAATTACTTCAAATATTAATAGTTTCATACATATGACTACATCAGCTTGTTCCATTTCATCTGACAGAGAAGATATGCTGAGGATCATCTGTCAGGGACTTACATTTGGTAGATCCCAGGAAGTGGGCCTTCTCTGGCCTAGTCCCTGTTTCATGGAACATTTTCTCTCCCACCACACCAGAGGTTAGGTTGGGTCCACCCATAATGTTCCCTAAATCCCTGAAGATCTGCTTGTTATGACAGCGGGAGGGATCCCAGGAACCAGAGACATATTTTGATAGCTCCATTACTGAGATAGATATACTCACTCTCTTCCATGCCTAGGGTTTGCATAATTTTAGTAATTTTTAATTGTTGATGCTCTTTAATATTTTTATGGGTTGCTTTATTGGATGATTTCATGCCACCCACATTCACCTTTAGTGAGATAGCTGGCCATACAACATATGATTAAGAATAAGAAAATAAATGTGACAGAACTAATAGGTATCTGTGCATCTGGAATATACCACTGTATTTACCACATCACTTCAAAAGTTAATGTTCTCTCTAAAGAACTTTTATAAAGAGCTTGGAGAAAAGAAAAATGCTGCCTTAAAAGAGGCAATTCTAGCAAGTAAAGTATTTTAGCTCCTCAACAATCACGTTGTTGTCTAGCATTGTTTTCTGAAAGTTAAAAACTGCTACTAAATTTGAAGTTATATTATACCTATTTAAATACAAATCAATAGAAAAGGACATAAAAGAAGTCATGTGAATAGTAAGTTATCAGTGAATTACTAAACACTTATTAGTAATATATATTGCTATATGTTTATAGTATACAAACACATACACAAAGCAATATAAGGCAAAGAAAACCCACTACCGATATGAAATATAGATTTTCACAATGAAAAAAACCTAAGTTATTTCTCCAGAGTCACACAAATCTGATTTTCTCATATAAATTGTCTTGTGTCCTGCAGCTTGGTCTTTGTACAAAGCTAGTTTATTTAAAAAAAAAAAAAAAGACTTACACCACGAAGTCTTCCTGGGCATACACCGCATGCAGACTTTGGGGCCTTGCCAACTTTCTTAGTATAAAGATAAACAATCCTATTACCAGGTGTCCTGGACCTATATGAACCAGATAACAAATAGTATGGTCACAAACTCAAACAAAACACATTCAATTAGAGAATAGCCAAGAATTCTAGATTGGACTTACAGCCTGGTCTTGTTAGAGGCTGTATTGTAGGACAGCCTACGCCGGTATGTCAGACGTTGGACCATTTTCAATGCCTAAAACAAGAAAAAAGTGAATGGAATGTGAGAAGGATCATTGCTGGACTAGAACTGTTTGGATTTAGCCATATACCAGCCATCTCCAATGTCCCATTGGCTTGGATTACAGTATCCATAATCTCTGGATAATTACAGTGTGGGAATGCTAAGAGTCAGAATTCATCACATCGAATGCTACTTTGCACTCTTGATTATAAGTCATGCTGCTGACATTAAGCACAAATAACTTTTTTTTATTCTTGTGGACAGAAAACGTCGTAAGGTGAAAATACACTGCTCAAAAAAATAAAGGGAACAGAAGCAGAAGACATCCAAGATCTGAATGAATGAAATAGCCTTATTAAATACTTTGTTTGTTACATACAGTAGTTTTGTGTTCTTTAGTTGTTTGAGCAGTGTATAAACTACTGTATGTAAAGAACAAAGTATTTAATAAGACTATTTCATTCATTAAGATCTTGGATGTCTTCTCCTCCTGTTCCCTTTATTTTTTTGAGCAGTATATTTTTATACCAACACTATTAAGCATGTCCGTCACATTTGGTACGTTGTTTAAAAATGCTGATGCGCTCTAACTCTCAAAGCCTTCGCCCTTACATGAAAAGCAAAGATTTGCACCCAGATTCTGCTAATCCAGGGGTGGGCAACTGTGGCCCTTTTACAACCTGTGGACTTCAACTCCCAGAATTCCTGAGACAGCCAAGCTGACTCAGCAATTTTGGGAGTTGAAGTCCACAGGTTGTAAAAGGGCCACAGTTGCCCATCCCTGTGCTAATCCAAACCAACAGTTTATACTACTTCCACCCACACCCACCCAAACAGTCCTCCCCGGATACTTCATGGGGAGATGAGCATAAGCAAAAACTGCTACACAAGGTAGTCTAAAATTGAAAGAAAAAAAAAAACCTGATGCACGAACATTTTCCCTCTCCCCGTCCCAAAAAAATGTCTCTAACAAAAATTGGTCCTAGGAAAAGATTTCTGAGGGGTCCTTGGTGCTCTCTGAGCTTGCTTGTTTTCTTGCAGACGTTTCATTAACCCAAATGAAGGGTAACACCATCAGAAAATATTTTTGGGCAGGTGGCAAATATATTTGCATGATACCACAAATCCTAAAATCCTATAATGTTTCTATCTACTGCAGAAAGAAAGAAAAAAAACTACAGATGAGCGAGCAGCCACGGAAACGAACTGCTCAATGCTGTGCCCGTTAAAACAAGCTGGAGACTCAAGATCACATATAACGACGGACAGGTTTCGAGAAGGCCTTATTAGTCCAAGGCCAGGCTGAGAGGCCTCCTTCCTGCCATCGCCATCGCGACCTCCTTCTCTCCTATTCCTTCCATTTATCGCAACCAAACACCCTCCATTCTTCACACCAGGATCCCAGCCGCGTCACGACAAATCTTTTGAGTTCCCCCAATTTTTCTACACAACGGATGGAAACCGATTAAAATCAACCCCCCCTCCCCAACACACCTTGCCCTAATTAGGGACTCACCAAGCGAAAGCTTGCCCCGGAAGAGAAAGAAGGCGGCAGCGGGGAAAGGTTAAAGTTGAAACGTGGAAGCTACGAAACCGGAAGTGCGGTTACGTCGCTCCGTTCAGCTCCCAAGGAAAGGAAAGTGGGCGCTACCATTTTTCTCCGAAGGAGCGAGAAAAAGGTTTCCCCTTCAAATTTAAAGTAGGATGACAAGCGTTAAAGGCAGTTTTCTTACTGCGTCAGGAATTTACAGCCGTCATTTTACACTATAAATATAAATAGTGCTGTATATTACTGTAAAACAAAACCAAAAACCTCCCTCTTTAGCCAAAACAACCCACAAGACTTTTAGGTTATTGAATTGTTCAGCTTATCAGACTAGGCGGTATTTCTATTAAAACAGTGTTTCTCAACCTTGGTAGCTTGAAGATGGGTGGACTTCAACTCCCAGAATCCTCCAGCCAGCAGCGCTGGCTGGGGGATTCTGGGAGTTGAAGTCCACCCATCTTTAAGCTTCCAAGGTTGAAAAACACTGTATTAAAACGTAGTGTTATGTTTTAGAACAGGGGTCCCCAAACTTGGCCGCTTTAAGACTTGTGGACTGCAAGTCCCAAAATTCTCCAGCCAGCATAACATAGCTGGCTGGAGAATTCTGGGAGTTGAAGTCCACAAGTCTTAAAGCGGCCAAGTTTGAAGACCTCTGTTTTAGAATAATATTTAAGCGATAATAACCGTCCGCATTTACCTAAGCCTGCATGCTTTCATGTGATTTCTACTTTTTCTTACAAAAGGTCTGCGCTTATAGGATGAATATCTCATCTTCCGATTTACCAAGGTAGCCTGCAGACTGAGGATTTCCTGGGAACCCCCTTTCCAAGTACTAGCAAGGTGTAACCTTTAAGGAAACACAAGCTGCACTGAAAATAATTTGCAAATGAAGACTTTTAAAACCATAGCTATAAATAGTTACAAATAGCCACGAGCTAGGTTTTAGTAATTTTAATTATCATTTCTCATTTTATTGGGACCAGTGCAGGAGTGAAATCCAGCAGGTTCTGACAGGTTCTGGAGAACCGGTAGACGAAATTTTGAGTAGTTTGGAGAACCGGCAAATACCATCTCTGGCTGGTCCCAGAGTGATGGGAATGGGGATTTTGCAGTATCCTTCCCCTGCCCGCCCACCAAGCCACACCACGCCCACCAAGCCACACCAGGCCCACCAAGCCACGCCCACAGAACCAGTAGTAAAAAAAATGTGAACTCCACAGCTGGACCAGTATATTAATTTTTTATTGAAAAGGGGAGGAGGTAGAGCACCAAACTTTGCTCCATGTTATTTTTAAAAATATCTTTAAAAGCAGTATTGAGAAGCACATCCTTGAGTTCAATTGGTCTGACTTAAATAAGAAGCTGCATTTTACTGATATTTATTAAATATCTTTTTGATATTGATGTAGTAGTTTGGTGTAGTAGTGGTTAAGAGGTGCTAGGTCCCCCCTTAGGCACAAAGCCAGCAGGGTGACCTTGGCCCAGTCTCTCAGTCCTAGCCTAGAAAAGAGGAATGGCAAACCATGCCCCCCCCCAAAAAAACTTGCTAAAACAGCTGCAGTCATCAGGTATTAACACTGATCTGAAGGCACAAATATATTCATTATTATGATTAACTAATTGACTCCAATTAGTTGGAGTTAGCCTACAATTATCTAATCACTATGCTATCTGTAAATTAATGCAACACATCACATGGGTTTTTTTTTTTTAATTCCCAAAGCTTTATCATAGTTGTTTTCCCATGAATATGCTCCAGGCTGAGTACATCCTTCCTAAAATTCTGTTTTCCAAAGTATTCTAGATATGGTCTGAATAACACAGAAATAGTGAAGAATAATGACTTCCCTTGATCTTGGTACTGTTTTTTGTTTATGTAACCTGGGATTGTATTTTGTATAGGATTACATAAACAGCCCTATTGCATTGATGGCTCATGTTCAGCTTGTGATCCACCAAGACACACAGGATCGTGCATGAACTGCTGTCAATTATAGGTTCTACCAATCTATCCTCATGCTTTTGATTTTTTTTTCCTCTAGCTAAATAGACATTATACTTGTAGTAGTGAAATTAATGTTATTGTTTTCTGTCCTTTGAATTTGTCAAAAGCCTATGGAATATTGATACATTCTTCTAAAGCAATGCTATCAAACTCGCGGCCCACGAGCCAGGTGCATCACGCCATGGCCACCCCCGGTTTAGTGAAGGGGGAAAAAATCGCAATACGCCAGGTGACGACAATGTGACATCGCAAGTTTGGCACTCCTGTTCTAAGGAATTCAATGTGTTCCCCTCACCCTGCCATTTCTATATCATACATAAATCTGATAATCATTTTCTTACTGTTCATCCAAATCGTTTATAAATACAAGGAAGAATACAGGACCTATAATAGGATCATAATCAGAATCACCTGACATCTTTGTTCAGCGGGACCTGGAGCCTGGATAGGTATATTGGACACAATTGTTCAACAAGTTCGATATTCGATATTAGTCCAGCCCACATTTTACATCTTGTTTACTAGGATTTCGTAGGCAATTCTATTTTTCTGAAATTAAGGTATACTGTGTTTAATGCATTACACTGATAAACTAAACTATTATGCTCTGAAAAGTTATGGTTTCTTTTATGTAACTGTGTGATTAGTTCTTAATAAATTCCTGTTGGCTTCTGTGAATATCCATGACAAAGTAATTGAAGCCTTGCTAGAAGTACCTCAAGAGACAAATCAGGAGGAATTGGTTGAAGAAGAAGCCAGTCTTGCTATTTAATTATTCTTATTCCCAAATCAAGCACCCTCTTCTTAGCCTTATCCTCTAATTTAAAAACAAGAGGAACTGAAACTGAAAGAATAACTGAGCATCTAGAACAGCATAGAAACAACAGAATAAGGTTGCACTAGGTATAAAGCTGAAATTGTGGACTGGACTCAAACTGAAGTAAAAGGCCTGGACAGGAAGACCAGAAAAATAATGACAATGAATTCTGCCTCTTCCATGCATTGATGTTGACAGACTATTTATCAAGGAGCATAGATGGACCTGAAATATTCCAAATATACCAGATAACTAAAAAAGAAGAAAGGGCATTGGAAGAAAGTGAAGGAGGTGCACCTTTGTGGTGTACTGCACTACAGCACACTACGAAGGCTTACTGAATACCAAAGAGACAAGATTGGCCTGAATAAAAGACCAAAATGAAGAATAATAAAGAGACATGGCAGGGCAAAGTATTACATGGCCAGTACATGAAAATAATATTAGATAACAAGTCCTGACTGGCTGAGAGCAGGAAAAAGAGGCAGGCTAATTGTTGCTACACAGAACCAAACCTTACGAACAAATGCATACAAAACCAGAATTGAAAAGACACCAGATACCTCTGGAAAAAAGCTGAAGAAATGGAACTACAGGTAGTTCTGTAGCGTTCAAAGTTAAGAGCGGATTGAGAAAAGTGACATATGACTGTTTTTCACAGTAACCATTGTAGCATCCCCAGGGTTACATGATCAAAATTCAGATGCTTGTCAACTGGCTCATATTTATGACAGTTGCAGTGTCTTGGGGTCATGTGATCACCTTTTGCAACCTTCTGACAAAGTCAAAAGAGAAGCCAGATTCACTTAAAAAGCGTGTTACTAACTTAACAACTGCAGTGATTCAATTAACAACTGTGGCAGGAAAGGTCATAAAATGGGGCAAAACTCACTTAACAACAGAAACGTTGGGCTCAATTGTGGTTATAAGTCAAAAGCTCCAGTACTCGTACCTAACTCCCTGAAGAAGATCACACGGACTGACTATAAATAACAGCATGACAAAATAGCAATAATGGTGCACTGGATATATCTGCAAGAAATATCATTTGCTTGCAAGCAAGAATTGGTGGGACTAATAGAAAACGAATAAACTAAAACATATTTAGAGTTTAAAATTCAAACAGCCAAGCATTGCCATGCAACTCCCCAAATTTAATATCTGTTGACAAGAAAGACAAAGTCTGGATAGTGGACATTGCAATATTAGAGACAGCAGAAGAGAAGTGGAGAAAATCAGAAAATATAAAGACCAGCAAATAGAAATAGAACAGCTATGGCAAAAGAAAGCAAGGATATTACCAGTAGTAATAAGTGCCTTGAATGCAGTCCTAGAACATCACTACTGGACCACTACTTGAACACCATCTGTATGGACAACATCCCCATCAGTTAATTGTAAAAGGCAGGTTTATTTTGAACAGTTTATATCCTGTGACAATACCTTTACTATTAAACGAGCATTTGCATATCCCAGGTCCTCGGGAAGGACTCAGTAGGTAAACAGCTGGCTAACTGTGCAACCGACTATAAGTCAAACAACATTTGCCTATCCTACAACCCTGGGAAGGATTCTATTGGTGGATAAAAATGCCAAATCCAGTCTAAACATCTGGCTGACTGCAACCAACTGTCACAACAACAATAATTTCTCACACTTAACACCACAAAAATTAAAGAACTTATAACTGACTTCAGGATGAAGAGAGATATACATTTACCATTGTACATAAATGGTGAGGAGGTGGAGAGGGTGGGTAGTTTTAAATTTCTGGGCATTTATATCTTGAAGGACCTCTCATGGACTATGAATGCTAACATGCTTGTGAAGAAGACACAGAAGAGGCTGTACTTCCTGAGAATGCTCAGGAAGATAAATCTATCTCATCATCTACTTCTGTCCTACTATTGCAGCACCAGTCCTGACATACGGTATTCTTGCAGGGTATGGGAGCAGCTCTGTAGCAGACAAAAAAGCTCTACAGAGCATCATTAAAACTGCCCAGAATATCATCGGACTCCAGCTACCAGCCCTGGACGACATCTTCGAATCTCTCTGTTTGAGAAAATTGCATAACATTCTTAGAGACTCTTCCCATCCTGCTTACAATTTTTTTGGACTGTTGCCTTCTGGCAGAAGATACAGAACAATTAAAACTCGGACTACACGTTTTCTGAATAGTTTTTATCCCAGAGCTACAATTGCACTCAACAATGAAGGGCC